GCTCTTCAGGCCCTTAAGCTCTGACGTATCTGATGAAGAATAAGTAAATGATAACTATTGTAAAATAACCATTCAAACTTTTGAAACCTAAAATTAGGAATTTTGCCCCAAAACTTGACATTAAACAGGGTCCCTAAAACAATCCCAAGATCCTGAATAAGCCCGAAAACTTGACATTAAAGCCTGTGCCCATGCATAACCGGGTCCAACATTACACCAATATTAGTGGGTGGCCCAACCCAAATTATACCCTTGCGACACCCATGTAGGGCTAGTGCAATATACTCCCAAACTCAATTCGCTAAGGCAGCTCCAGGAACAACAGTTGCAACTGCAACGGCAGCAGCAAGAGCAGATGGAGGCAGCAATAATACAAGGATTATATAGGTGCCATATATAGGTGTTATATAGGCGTTATATAGGGATCAAATAGGAATTATATAGGGGTTATACGGGTCATATAGGGCTTATATCGGAATTATATGGGGGTTATATTGGGAGAATGGAAAAGAGCATGGAAACTACTATTTAGGGTTTAGGAAGGATACTTGAGGGGTCTCAATAAAGATGGGGCTTCAATCTCGACCCCAATATATATTCCATAAGCGTTAGGATGAGGACTCCCAAAATTATACTCGCAGCTTCCCTGTACATTTGGCTATAATGCAAAGTTGCATATCTTGCTTACAGCTTCTGCTGCGCGATGACAGCATAGGCCCTCCGGAAGCAGCAGGAGATGGAGTTGGAGCGTCTTCGGATTCTTGCTTGCATGCAGAGACAGGAATGGAAAAGGAACATCGAAATCGTGTGCACATATATCAACAGAGGGTTATTTGGTTTATTAAGTAGCAGGATCGGAAATATCAGTTATCATATTTCTCGACATCTTGACTGGAACCATGGGGGCATAATATTTTTTTGTGCGGTGTACTGTACGTTAGTTAGAATAAACGGAAACTGAAAGCATCCATATTGTTTTGAGCATGCTAGTTTGAAACATGGACAAGGACCTGGAAGCTACAACGCGATAGGGTTTGTGGGTGTATCGTTTGCTGGAAATAGACAAGACAATGGAAACAACTCATGCTTTCGGGGGGTATATCAGCTGGAGCACTGGAAAAGGAATGGAAGCTAGCACATCATTCAGGAACCCTGTAGGTTCAGGCTTCAGTGTCTTTTGGTGAATTCGTGATTTTGGCTAGCAAGTGGGATCGGGATTTTTTTGTAGACATCCATAAGCAAAGTATATGTATCATGTATATACATATGTGCATTTAGGTGTATCTTCCTGTTGGCAGGGACCCCTGCGCTGGATCGACAGGTACAGGTAGGAGACACGTACCAAGCATGCTGAATCAAGCAGCTGTTTCTAGGTGCCAGCTCCTCAGCCAGCTAGATGGGCGAGCAGCAGATAGAACTGCTCCTCCTACTGCTACATGCTATTACACTCTTAGGGGACATGGGGTGTAGGATGTCCTCCATCAACAGTGCCGGTCTGCCCAGGAAGCAGCAAGAGGAAGCATCTGCTGCAGCGGTGGCAGTTCCCTTTCTGCAGGTCACGGTCGGGTCCTGCTAGGGTGGGAGCAAGCCCAAGATATATACCAATCTTATTCCCTAACACCCTCTACATGTTTATATATTCCCTACTGCTCTTATATATTCGTATCTACATATATATATATATCCATGTACATATACATGTCCCCTCGCAATCCTTACATGTTTAGAGTAAAATTCTCGCGCAGAAGGCTTCACGAATTTTGGCCCCTACCTTGTGTAACGACCACAACTTAAATTCACCACAGGCTTCATCCCGAAACCTCTCAACCAAGACTATCTGTATGACAGTTTATGAAAATAGTAGGGTTTAGGGTTTAGGGTTTAGATTTCAGAATCGTTGCTGAGAGTTCTTTGTGAGATGTGGTGTCTACCAAGGCACTTGAAGCTGCCAAAGAGAAAGAAGCACCACCAGCACCTGTGCACCCGACCGACCCAACTCTTCGCAGGCTTCATCTTCAGCGGTAGCAGCACCCTGCAGAAGGGTTAGGGGTTGAGGGTTTAAGGTGACGGGATGAAGAAGAGAATGGAAACAGAAATTACTACACTTGTTGGGGTTTAGGGTTCAGAGTCTTGTTGGGATTTAGTATTTGGGGTTGGTGGCTTGACATCGTTTTGCAGCCTTGACATCGTTTTGCAGCCCGGACGCAACAAGGAGTACCTAGAGCCTAGAAACAATCACAAGCAAAATGAGCGCGAAGAAGACTGCAGTGACGATTTTAGTGCATGTACCGCCTATTTGCTTTGCTTTTCTTCTCTGTGGGTTAAGGGCCACTTAAACCGCAAACGAGTTATCTTTCTATTATTGTTGTTAGTACTAATATTAATACTATTACTATAACTATGACTATTACTAGAACCATTACATTGCTACTGCTACTACCGTTACCATCGCTATTACTATCATTTTTACTATTATTATTCTTAGTAATATTACTATTGTTATTTTTTGTGCAACTGCCAGGCCGACAGAAGCAGCGGGGGCGCCATCTTCGCCAGAAACTCAGAGACTCAAAAGGGTATGAGATGGGTTTAGGGTTTAGGGTTTAGGGTTTAGTGTTTAGGGGTTAAGGTGTTAGGGTTTCGAGTATCAAGACTTTGGTAGGATGATTGGATTGCTCTGAAGTTATTTTCTATAGAATCCTTCCCAAGGACCCGTATAGCCCTTACAGGTTCCCTCATATCCCTAGGTTCCGTAAGAGCCCCCTTTGTGAGAGGCCCCAAACCCCCTTGAATATATACAGGGATATGTGCTGGATAGGAGCACTTACAGCCCAGAAATTGGTTGCGTCCTTTCCCTGATATTGCTGCCGCCATCACCTGCACCACCGCGACTACTACTTCTATTACTTTTACTGCTTCTACCACTTCTACTGATGTCTGTACTGCAACCACCTAAGGCTCTTGCTTCACTCTGCATGCGCGTTATTCTGTGGGCTCACTCTGTGCCAGGCGCCCCAGTCGAATTCGGCGGCAGACCACAGACCATTCACTCCATTCACTCCATGCGCTCCGGTTTCGAATTCCTACGGGCAGCCCTGAAGAGGCTTGGCTGTGGGGCTCAGAGCTCACAAATATTTCTATTACTATTACTATTATGCTAATATTATTAGTCTTACTATTACTATCATTGTTGTTATTATTACTACGTTTATTACTACTATTTCTACTATTAATATGTATGACTATTAGCACCATTACTATTATTGTTAGAGGTCGACGAGGTTGTGGACAGGTTTCGGGTTAGGCAGCAGAGTCATGCAAGTAAAGGCAGACAGCATCATGGAAGTGTCTTTCAATATAGACAGAGGCATCAAAAAACAATTTGATAAGGCATCGAGAGAAAATTTGCCGAGCATCAAACATAATTTGCTAAGCATGTATTGTTCTTATCGGTCTTGCTAGCCGTGTATCCGTATTCGTACTGTGAGTACAACTAGTCACTATTCAATTTATTCTTGCTAATGTATAGTACTGTGATCCTGAAACTTTTCTTGATGCTTCTCAAATTATTTTGATACCGTGCGCAAGTTTTTTCATTTTCTTGATTTTTTTTATGTCATTTTCTTGATGCTTATCAATTTTGCTTGATGCATCACCCTTCAGTATAGCAGCAGCCGCAGTATAGCAGCTGTAGAATGCTTAGCCTTTGCAGCTTTCAGCAGTAATGGCCAGCTGGCCTTTGCTTGGAAGAGTCTCCCTTGACCGTCCTAGCACAGCTACAGCAGCTGCGTAAGCCAATGCTTGACGATTGCAGTATAATCCCCCTTCAGTAGATTGACGATTGCAGTATAATCCCCCTTCAGTAGATAGAATATGGGGTATATAGGAATCTTATTACAACATACCCAAAGCCATGTTCTCTTACTTCCCTAAAACCGACACCATGTCTCCAAGCACAGGAAGGAAGACCACGTCAAAACCATCCTGCACTTCATGCCGCTCTGGCCCAGATGGCAGCCATTCTTCGGGTGCGGTGCTCGGATCTCTGGACATTGGGCTGTGCTGCTCTCTGTGGCAAACCTTAACCCTAAACCCTAAAAAACCGACCCATCACAATTCGTTGTTCTCAAAATTATGGAGCCCTTTTGGATTGTTAATCTTTTGTTGTATCACGGCGCCTAGTATTTAGGGGATCAAAATTAGACCGTATTTTTGGGAACTACCCATATCGCAGGGTCGCCAAGGGCCCCTTAAGCTTATATTCTACGAATGCAAAGGTTCAAGGACTAAGGGTGTCTCGTAGCAAGTGTTGGTTCATGACTTAGCTTTTATGGAAGAATTTCATTGTTTGTAATTGTTTGTAAAGAACAGAGTGCCTCAGTAATATTCACGACGGTATACCATGGTGCGGCCATTTCTCTGCCCATAGATCTGAATCCTTTAGCCTATGAGCTTTGGTCTAAGCTCCTAGTATCCCCCTTTTGATAACCCATAAAATAGTGCCTTAAGCAATCCACTATATAACACCTCTTTGCCTGTATAACTCCTCTTTGAGGAGTTTAGACTATAGCTCACATGTGTCATGGGCCTGATTCTTGCATACATGTTCTGATCCTACTCCTGCTGCAGAAGATCTTGTATGCTGTGGCTTAGGTGGACCCCCACACAGTAATAGTGATTGTATCATAAGGGATAATAGGGATTGTATTAGGGTCCTCGCATAGTATCAGGTTACCGCTGTAATAGGGTGGGGGGGGTCCTCCTAAGCTGTAGCCTTTGAGAGCGACCGCATGTATTACCGGCTTATGTCATGATCAGTGTGCAGCTTTAAGACGGTATGCCTCAAGCATACCTTGGCATCCTGCGTCGATTATCTAGACTTTTAATCTCTCTGTCTCTTGCGCTGTAGCCGCTTTCCACATCCCCGTGCCAGGTTGCCAAGGAGAGGGAGCAGAATTTCAAGGCAAGCGAGGAGTGGAAGACTCAGGCAATTACTGCAGGAGCCGGAGTATTTGTTATTCCCATCTCATCGCACGACCGCTTGGTTGCCAGCGTCCTGATGCTTGATGTTCTTGAAGCTTCACCTGCATTGTGCTGTTTCTATGCTAGAAGGATCCGCATGAGTGGGCTCATTAGTGCTCCTTCTCAAGGTGTCCGGACACAACAAAATACAGTCGCAAGTGCTATGTATACTTGGTACTGTCTTCAGAAAAGCCCGGCAGAAGCTGTTATCATTCAACATTTGCTATCATGACGATGTAATCTCCAGCTAGTCCCCACATGACGTTCACCCTAAACCCAATACCACAGGGAGGGCGTGGTCCTGGTGGAGGGAACTGAATATGTCCAGAGAACCAAGGACAAGAAGACCTCAGAGCAAAGCTGGATAAACTAGCTCAGAGCAGTAACAACGCCCCCAGGTCATTCTTGCACCGCAAAAAGGCACAAGCCGTGCTTCGGACCACTTTAACCTCTTATCCAAACTCTAAGCTCGGGCCCTAACCAGCGAAATCTAAAACAACGCCGAACCCTGAACCCAAAACCCTAAAAACCCTAAACGGCTTGCTGTTTGCTGAAGGTTTCAAGATCAAATGCTGCGCGATCTGCAAGCCGAGCCAGCATCTCAAGGTTTAAGGGTGTAGAGGTAGTATTGCTTGGAGTTTTAGGGTTTGGGGGTTTCGAATCAGGCGGTTTCAGGATTTTTGGATTAGGTTTTAGAGTTTAAGGGTTCATTTGTCTGGATGAGAAGGGTTTCGGGTTAAGTAGGGTTCAGGGATTTATCGCGAAGACCGTTGCTGTTGCTATGACTTTGCTCAATTGTGGATGACTACTCGTTTCTCGAGGCTTTAGAAGGAAACACGGCCAATTTCTTTCGGGCCGTTTAAGGCACGACCCAGTCACGACTGGTCTACTTCTAGTGGGTGTTCCAGGTTTCGCCATTGCTGATGCCTGTCATAGACGCCGTGATTCTTCTGACTAAAGTTACTAAAGTCTTTGCTGCTTTGATTGTTGTGTCCTTGGTTAGTGCTATTCTTGAAGCTGCGATTGTCAATGGACAAAATCCGACGTGAGCCTGCACCTCGAAACCACGGAGATTATGATAGTATACCCAGAACCACTCAGGATTTCGTCTACGAACCTCAAACTCTAAAACCCTATAGAATCATTCAGGATTTCGCCCATGAATGGTAGTTTCCCTGTCATTTTTAACGGTGCTGCTCATTGCTTAGCTGCATTTTGTGTGCAGGCAACTAGGTTGGGAGGAGTGCCTGCTAGGGACCCTAGGTATAGGGTTCAGGGTTGTTATCGTAGATGTTACCGCTATCAATATTGTTATAGAATGAATTCTTTGTTACTTGGATTGCAAAGTGATTGAGAAGTCCGGTTGAGTTTAGCTTGGGTACTGCCCCCACCCAGTAACAGTCTATACTAGGGGTCACATTAAGGGCTATTTTTAATTATATTATAGTTGTTATCCAACTGTTGCTGAGTGGGAGCAGTACCCAAAGTTTAGCAGTCTAGAGGGGTAGTTTTGAAATGGGCTGTGGGGCCGCAGACTGATAAGAGCCAAAAGCCAAGAACCCCCAAAAGGGCGGTTATATAGGGGATTATGTAGGGACGAGTATAGCGGTTAGTAAGGGGGATAGTAGGAGTTTGGACTGTAGCTGCTATAGCTCATATCTAGAAACATGCAAAGTACTGGCCAAGAAGAGCTGCAACACAGCAGTTCCGTCCTTTTGGGGGATGGCAGTCCACCGTTTTGAGTCACCATAGTGATCTATGTAACCTGTGATATTCCAAAGCCTAGGCCCAAAAACTCCCAACGCCAAAGCCTAAATCCTCAAAACGGTAATCCATGCTGGTACTGCCAAGTTTTCCGGCTGGACGCTTAGGCGTGATGGGTGGAAACAGGAGATCCAGATGTTGACGGAGCAGGTTGCAGTCCGAGCCACTTCATGGCTTTGTTCAAGGGAAGCATATAGGTGGACCTTCACCCTGTAATAGTGACTATAACGGATACTAGAGATTATATCAGGGTCCTCTTATATTCCCATTATATCACTATTACAGGGTGGGGGGTCCACATAAGGAAGTATATTCGATTGCACAGCTGCTGCTATTGGGAGAGCACTTTTTGTATTCCTTGTTGTGAAAACTTTCATTTTGTTCTGGGGAGTGTTGGCTGCTCCCAGCACACAGCCCGAAATTGTTCGAAGCTGTATCACAAAGTGGATATCGACATACAAGGGTGAGAATGTTTAGCAATGTCATAGTAGTTGATGCTGAACTTGCAACCCAAAATTACAGCCCAGGCCCACATGCCAAACCCGTAGCAATTCGGCAAAAGTTAGTCGTCAAACGCGATTTTCTTAAAGGATCAAAGGATAATCCTTGCGAGGGCTGTGCATCGTCCCACCAAGATAACTACTACCCCCTTGAAGTCCATGTCCAGCCCATATTGTAAGTTCCCAAGAGTCGGGAACCGCAATATAAACCCCAATATATTAGAATCCTTATTATACTGACCCCTAAAAAGGTACTCCCCTCAATTTTGTGCATGCCGTATCTCGCAGGTTGGCGATCTTCGACAGAGCCTGGAGGAGCCTGCTTAGGCTCTGCGTTAGGTAACCCAGTATTTACATGAGCTATAGTCAAAACTTCCAAAAGGAGTTATATAGGGGAATATATAGGGCGGTAAAACAGGGGTTATAAAGGGGAATACTAGGAGCTTAGACTTTAGCTCACATGAGGGTTCTTAAGAACCCTAAACCCTAAACCCTAAACCCTAAACCCTACCCTGTGGGGTCTACACGGGTGTGTAAGGTCTTCGAGGATGTCACTGGCAGCACAGGGACACGAAGGCTGACCATACTGAGGAGGACAGCTATCGCTGATAGTTCAAGTCAGGACCGGCTTCATCCTTATAGAGGTACTAGGGTTTAGAGTTTAGGATTTAGGGTATAATATACTTTAATATACTTTAATATACCATAATATACTATGATATATTATGATATACTATCAGGTACTAAGTAGTATATTATGATAGACTATAATATACTATGATTTACTTAATGTTTCTAGGACCACTAAACGGAGTACTTCTCCTTTCATCATTCGTGCCAATTTCCGGCAAGTAGCAGAGTCAGTCGTTCCTGACCTCTTTGAACTAGTCTGCTCACACGCCTGTCGAAATATCCCAAGATACAGCTAAAGTCCTACTATTTCTCTACCTAGGCTTCAAGCAAAGTCCCTACTTGGGTGGCATGCTTCCCGGCACTCTCTGTAGAATGTCGTAAGCTGCTTTCCAGCTAATGCCGCCCGCCGCCCGTTCTGTCTGGCTGCTCGACCGCCAAGCTCATCGGAGCAACCAGACATCAGAAACATGATTCTCATTTTTTCTGAAGCTTAGGTTTTCAAGCCCCTGACACCCTGGAAAAGGCCTCTGTTATCATGTTCAACTTGGGGGGAGTGGCATGCAAAGCCAGCTGAAATCAGCTCTCCAAACCCAGTTATGGGGCTTGCCCCCAACTCTGCGTAGATTATAGTTTCTAGGTCACATAGACCTTCAAGCAGGGTAGGCAGGATTTCTGACTTATCGGCCGCCACCGTTTCACTGCAGTAGGGTTTGCATGGCGCCGGCGATATGTGAGCCTGGTGGCCGCGGCCTAAGCTGCACGGGACCATTAGGGCTTTCTCAAACTTAGGGGGTACCTTGTTGGGGGTGTTTGTAGAAAGGTAGTAAGGACTATAGTGCTTTGGGGTCTACATTGGGTTCCACTATTCAGGGGAATTACCAATTACTTGGAGGTTCATGGGTAGCTTGAATCCGTTTGAGAGTCCCCAAGGTCATGAGTATAGTTATCTAGTAGAACCCAAGTTGCAACTTCCCATGAACCTTCAAGTGCTAGAGGCTTTGTAAATAGTGTGGTTGAAAAAGCTAGAGTCCGTGCTGCGTGCGTGTGGCCAAGGCCATGTGCAATACTACGGGGGATTACTTAACCCTAAACTTCAGTACTTGTGCTTCGGGCTGGGTCCATGGTCCGCACTGACTTCTTGCATAGCCTTAAGGCCTCTAATCCCCCTTGTGCACGTAGATAAGAATGTGGAACTCCTCCAAATCATAATAAGGTGCCTGGCTACCCCACATAGTATTTACAAAGGGAGGATTATAAGCCCATAATGTACGAGAAAACATCATATTTTTCTTATCTTAGAACATATTTTACAATATTATACTACACTACTAAGCCCTAAACCTTTGAACCCTAAACCCTACACTTCAAATCCT